AGGCAGAAGGGGACAAGGAAGCTGGTGATAGGGAACCCAAGGTTGAGTAAGGATATTGTTGATGTGTTGTGAGATTGTTAACCATTGTCATAAGGCAACATTTGTAGTAACTGTTAAATGAGAAACTATTTGTTCTGTAAGCCTTCACCGGAAGTACAATAAAATATTAAAAAAAGGAAAAAAAAAGTGTATGGGAGCAAGCATGATTTGAGCTTGAGGTGGAAAGCTGTGGAGCTACGGGAGACAGTACCCACTCTCCTGAAATGTACATCCTTGTTGGGGCAACAAAACAGAAAGAACAAAGGCAACTGATTATATAAGCAAATACATTTTTTCACCCACTTCACCAACAGTTATTGAGTAATCAACGTGAACAAAGAACTGTGTCAAGGGTTGTGGGAGATCCAAGGATAGGACACGGTCCCCTCCCTCTGAGAATTTTGCTGTGTAAGAGACATACGCAAATACTGATTGGGGCAGCATATAAACAGATTCTTGCCAGGGAAGATGGTAGAACCAAGTGTTATGGAAACCCAGAAGAGGGAAAGAATCTTTCTGGTACGGATGGTTGGGAGTGGAGTGGGTGGTCTCCATGGAGATGCTGTAGTGCTATCCTTGAAGGATGGAGAGATTTTTAGTAGGTGATGATGGTCATTGGGGTGGGGGGTGGGTTGGAGAATGGGAAGATGGATAAAATGAACGTTCTAGGTGGGACAAACAAACACATAGCAAAACAAATGATGTGGGTGTAGGAAAGGCTGGTATCCTGGTTGAACTTGTACTAGAATCTCTTATCAACGCAAAGCCATAAATAATATCAAGCAAGTGTCAAGTCATATAAGGAGGGATGGAGCCAAGGACAGGTGTTAGGAAGAGAGAAGGCTGGGCCATCTTCATCAGGAATAATGTCCATGGATGATCAGGGTGGAGCAGACAGGGCAGGGAGTCAGGGAGACCTGCCCAGTGTCATGGTATAAACCAAACCAAATCCACTGCTGTTGAGTCAATTCTGACTCACAGCGATCCTATAGAGTCGACCTGATAGAGTACAGCTGCCCCACAGGGCTTCCAAGGCTCTAAATTTTTATGGAAGCAGTCTGCCACATCTTTCTCGCAGAGAAGGTGGTGGGTTCCAACCACTGACCTTTTGGTTAGCAGTCAAACACTTTAACCACTGTGCCACCAGGGCTCCTTGTCATGGTATATAACCCCTAAATACCAGTATCAACAGCAGAAATTTAATGAATAAATTGTAAAGGGAAAAGAGAGAGAGAGATGGAGGGGGACTCTCTAGAACAGAAGAGACTTGAAACGCCTATCAATCTATCATAATGTGTAGCTTTTATCTGAATCCTGATTCCATCTGGCAAACTCTAAAAAAACTGTTTTATGACATGTATGAGACAATTGACCAATGAGTATTTGAAAATATTAAAAATTACTGTAAGTTTTTGAAGTATTTGTTAAAAAAAGAGTCCTCATCTCTGGGAGGTACATTCTGGACCATTTACAGATAAAATGATACCTGGCATTTGCTTCACCATAATACAGGAGTGGAAGGAGGTATAGATGAAGCAAGATTAGCCATGATTTGATCATTGTTGCAGCTGGGTGTTGAAGTTTCATCACACTATTCTGCCTACCTTTATATACGGCCGAAGTTTACGATAATAGAAAATGTAAAACAAGGGAAAACAGATGTCAACATGTGAAAGACGACAACATTAAAACAAAAAAGTGGAACTAAAAAAATGCAGACATAGATTTTTCATACAGAGAGGAAGTGAAGGCGAGATAAAGAAAGAAAAGACTGCTTTAAACTTAGAAAAATAGGGGTAAATATTAAGGTAAGCACAAAGGAAACGTACAATCCTACAATCCAAATAAAAAACAAGAAAAATACAAAGACTCAGCAAATACAAAATCAACAACGAAGAAAAAAATACATAAAGAAAAATGACTAGGCACAGACAATTACGTGGAACGAAGAAACCATCAGCAACACAAGAAAAGGTAAAACCAAAAAAAACAATTTTAAAAAAAGTAGGGGAAGCCCCGCCCACTACGCTTGGGGGCCCCGCCCCTTCCGGCCCTCTTTCCCGCGACTGCGTTTCCGGGTTTCCAGGCCAGGGTGTCTCCCGACTTTTCCCATTTCCTCGGGAACCCGTCAGCCTCACACCTGGGTAGTCGTGCCTTCTATTCTCCCCGCAGCCTTGCAGGCTGTGCCGAGCCCCCCGGAGTCGCACGCAGCCTCCGGCCCTCGAGCCGCGGCCGCCGGCTCCCCCCACGTCCCTGGGGCGCTTGGTAGCGTCCGGCCCCGACCCTGAGGCGCGTCCGCGTTGTCCTGGCGACGGCTGTGCGCGGGCGCCGCTGCCGGCGGAATCCCGCCCGGGAGTCGTCTCCAGTGTAAGGGCCTCGGACCCGGGGCTGGGGTGGCCAGGGGCCCGCCGCCGAGCTGCCGAGGCCAGCCGAGCCCTGGGCGGGGGTGCAGCCGCGAGTCAGCCTGGCCCGGGGTCGGAGGAGAGGTCGGGCCTAAAGGGGTTAAACGGGGATGGGGTGGCGCGTGGGTCTGGAGTCTTCCCCCGCCCCTAGCAGGAGGTGGGATAAGGGGCCCCCGAGGAGAGGAGGCGTGTGGCAAGGGGGTGAAGGGACTGAGGAAGTGTGCGTGCGTGTGGGGGTGTGTGTGTGTGTGTGTGTGTGTGTGCGCGCGCGCGCGCGCGCGATTGCGCGCACCCACGAGGGTCACAAGTCCACCCGAGGGGATGGGAGCGTGTGTGAAACCGTTCAGCTTGTTTTGTCGGCCTGGAGGTACACGCAGGGACTCTACGGGGACTAGGGAGAGAAGGGGCGGGATTGTGAGCTGGGGGCGGGTGCTGAAGGGGCTGGGGAGGGGAGTGAAGGAGGGGGGCGGAGACTGTGCTGAAGAGGGGGCGGTTTCCGCGATGCTAGTTAGGGGGTGGGAGCTGAGGTGACGGGTTCGTTAAGCACCTCCTTCTGTATATTCACCATATTTTCTCGATGCTGTGGGGAAGAGGCTCGTAAAGTATCTGAGGTCGTGTAGTCGTTTAGGAATCTAAAGCTATGGGCCGTCTTCAGAAAAAAAAAAAAAAAAAAAAAAAAAACCACAAAAAAAAAAAAAATTATCATCAAAAAAAAAAAAAAAAAACATAAAAATACACACATGATTTTATACTCAGTCTCCGGGCCTTCACAGAGCAGCCCAGTAGCCCGTCCAAGGGCCCCAAGTTAAGAGACTCCGCTATGGAAGACGTAAATTAGTGCGGGATTTGTGAAATGCCCTCACAAGGCAATACATTATTTTTTTAAATTTTTTCCCATACAGAAATTTATACGTACATTGTTATGTGACCCTAATTGCTCTCCCCATACTGTGACAGCACACTCCTCCTTTCCACCCCTGATTCCCCATGTCCGTTCAACCAGCTCCTAACCCTCTCTGCCTTCCCATCTTACCTCCGGACAGAAGCTGCCTGTTTAGTCTCTTGTATCTGCTGGAGCTAAGAGGCGCACTCCTCACGGGTATCCCTTTACGTCCCACAGTCCAGTCTAATCGCTGTCTTGAAGAGTTGGCCTCAGTAATTGTTTTAGTTCTGGGCGGATAGAGAATCTGGGGGCCATGCCTTCTGGGGTTCCTCCAGTTTCAGTCAGACCATTAAGTCTGCTTTTCTTACTAGAATTTGAGTTCTGTACCCTTCCTTTATTTGAGTTTGCACCCCACCTTTGCAATACATTATTAATGACAAACACATAGTAAAGGTGGGAATTGCTACAGAGCTTTAAAGGATGTGGGGATCAGTGTGGACCTTATGGAGAAAGTGGACCTTAAAATGAGTGTGTGAAGGAAGGCAAATCTAGCAACAGGTGTAGCATGGGGCGGAACCAACAGGGCCGTCCGAGAGGCACCAGTGCAGGTGGATCAGGGAGCTAAGCCTGGCTGGGCTATAGGCTTCTCCGCCTCCACATCTCCCCCTACTGGAGAGGGGGTCAGGAAGGTGGCTCATAAATGTCACAGCACGCACACAGTCCCCAGATGTTAAAGGGTTCCAGTTCACATACATCTAAGAAACTGATTTGGGGAAATCCAAGAATAACTGTTTGCTTCAACGTTTTCCAAACTTACTTGATCGTGAGATTCCTGACTTTTTTATTCTCGTGCTCGTATTAATAGCTCAAGGAACATCTCAGAGAGGACATTTTGGGAAAAGTTACTGAGGAGATTTAAGGACCATTGAAGGGTGTCTAGCAATGGCATGATACTGGGTTGTGACGTGTGATGTAAGAAAATTAATGGGGCAGTGTGTGTGGGAATGGAATGGCCAGCAGAGAGGGGACTGAACCACGGTAAACCATGGTGGTGACAAGAGGCACATTTGTCAAAGACAGAGAAAAATGTGTGTGGTTTCTCACAGATGATTATGCTGCTTCTGTTTTCTTCCCAGGAAATGACCATTGGCTCTAAAAAGAAGACTTCATTTTTCATGATAAAATGGCAGTGGTGAATACCTCCAGCCGTGAGCTCAAGAACACCCAAGAGTTGTTTAGTGAGGTACCCCTGCTTCTGAGGAGCCTAGTGGAGGAGCCCAAGAAAAGAACAGATGTACCTAATCACCTCCTAGAATCAAGTAAGTGATTGGAAAACAGAGCAGCTTCATAGCCTACGCTTTCCCAGAGAATCCAAAGTCCAGAAACCACAGTGGAATTCTTGGTGCTGATTTATTTGTATTGCTTTATGGGCTCATGCCAGTTTGTATTATGCAGAACAATGGTTCTGTTTAGGTTAGGAATACCCCCTGTCTTCACCGATAGATTTTTGTGGTGTAAATTAGTCACCAAGTTCTGTGGCTTCCATTTCCTCAAATGTCTTTCCCATCTGTCCCCTCAGCCTATTGTCGGGCCTAGCCTGTCCCCGGGCCTCCGCCTGTCCCCGGACCTCAGCCTGTCCCCGGACCTCAGCCTGTCGCCGACCTCAGCCTGTCGCCGGGCCTCAGCCTGTCGCTGGGCGTCAGCCTGTCACTGGCCTCAGCCTGTCCCGGGGCCTCAGCCTGTCTCCGGGCCTCAGCCTGTCGCCGACCTCAGCCTGTCCCCGGACTTCAGCCTGTCCCCGGGCCTCAGCCTGTCCCCGGGCCTCAGCCTGACCCCGGGCCTCAGCCTGTCCCCGGGCCTCAGCCTGTCCCCGGGCCTCAGCCTGTCCCCGGGCCTCAGCCTGACCCCGGGCCTCAGCCTGTCCCCGGGCCTCAGCCTGACCCCGGGCCTCAGCCTGTCCCCGGGCCTCAGCCTGACCCCGGGCCTCAGCCTGTCCCCGGTCCTCAGCCTGTCCCCGGGCCTCAGCCTGTCGCCGGCCTCAGCCTGTCACCAGGACTGCTGTGGTGCCTTCCTCCTTGGCCATGCTCCCCAGACTGCTCTTTACATCTCCAGCATTTCCTCTTTAAAATCCCGCTGGCTCTTGCTGCTGTCCTGTGCCAGCACCCGCAGTGGGTCCCCTTGCATACAGAATAGAGTTGCCATTTCTGCATCTGGCATTTGGGCCCCTTTACGGTCTGATCTGAACTGCACATCCAGGGCCATCCCCACACTGTCTCTGCTCGTCCGTGGCTCTAGCCACACCGTGTTACCCCCTAGTCCTTCAAGACCACGTGCGTTTTACCCCTCCTCACCTTTTTTATGCACATCCCTTAGCCTGGAAAACCTGGTGAATCCTGTAGCTTTTGTGTGAAAAGCTCATAATCTTGCCTACGTTATTCTCATTAAACCCACATGACAGCCTCGTGAGAGTACATTCCGTTTTACGCCTGGAGAAGCTGAGACTCAGAAAGGTCGAGTCCTCTGAGGTGGTGCACCCAGGAGGTGGAGAGTTGGTGGTCAGGGCCTGGAGTCCAATGTCCAGGCTCTCTGCTCTCGTGCTCCAAGGCCCATCGGAAGTGCTGGGAATGTGAAATTTGGTGTGGCTCTTTTGCAAAGTACAGATTAATAATCTTGACCATTCCTGGGCATTAGCAGAAAAATGCCAGTTTTATATCTATTTTGTGGCCTTAAGAAACAAAAACAAACTTTCAGCATTAAAAAAAAAAATCAAATAATGATAATTTCAGTGCTTACAAAATTACCCAGTGATAACTCAGAGATCTGCAGTCCCCCGACACACTGTCCCTGCCCCCTTCCAGCCTTCAGTGTGGCCCCACGCTGAGGACAGTGACAGCTGACCCAGTGAGGAGCAGCCACAGCAAATGTTCCCAGCTGGTGTGGGTGTGTGCTCGCCCCACCACGGGGTGCAGGTGTCTGTGGCTCCCGTGCTTTGGACATAGCCAAGGTCGAACGGTTACCATTTGTGAGGAACTGGCTGGTGCATTCATGTTGGGGGAGGCAGTGTGGTAGAGCGGTTGGAAGCAGATGGCCCTGGGCTTGATCTTGAACTACCAGCTGTGGGCAAGTTGCTTAACCTTGGGTGTCTCAGCGTCTTCACCTGCGAAGTAGAAACAATACCTACCTCATAGGGCTGGCGTGAAGATGATACGCAAACGTATGCCCCGCCTTGCCTGGCACACAGCCTTAAAAACACCAGTCACCGTTAAGTCCTTTCTGACTCATGGTGACCCCGTGTGTGGCAGAGTAGAACTCTGCTCCATAGGGTTTTCCATGGCTGATATTTTGGAAGTAGATCGCCAGGTCTTTCTTCCAAGATGCCTAGGATGGACTCAAACTACCAACCCTTGGGTTCTCTCCAAGTCTCTGCTCCTGCCTAGATAAAGAGCTGGGAAATGTTCTGTAGACCTGGACACCGCTGTGAGCTCAGCTGTTTTAACCTTGCTGTCTAAACTGAAAAAAAGATGCTCACACTACAGTAAAAGCTGTTTGAGACTTTGCTGTCCAGAGTGATAATTATCCAGAGCTTTAATTACGGTAGATCACATCGTAATCCTCTTCAGAGGAAATCAAATAATAAAAGTTAAATACTCAGTAATAAAACTAAACGCTTGGTGTGTGCATCTTTGAACTGAGTGTCCGTTACATTGTAAGTAATCGCAGGGTTCTGCGGAGCAAAGACTGGGCTAGTACTTTTAGGGAGCTGGTGTCGTGTTACAAAGATTTGTACAGAATGTGTGGAAAACAAATAATTTTAATAGGTAGTAAACAATGTATCTGAGTTTGTATTGCGATGGTAACGTCTCCCAGATGTTTGAAAATAGGGAGAAGCAGTCCGAGCTGTCAGGAGCAGACAGTTAATCTTGTTGACAGCTATATCCCCATCCTATGCTTATGATGTCCCAAATTAAAGAGAGCCCATGTTAATAGATCTGTAACTTAATATTTCACTCAACGTCTCCTAACAAATTTATCTCCATTGCTTTTTACAGAGGTTTACGCAAAACTTCTGAATAATAAGATCATAGAGGCAAAACCTGGCATAGTGCATTTTGGAGGCTATCAAGTAGAAAAACAGCACCAACAGATTCTGGTAGGTACTTTTTAGTGGGATAATTAATCACGGTAATGAAACAGCAGGAATGTTCTGCGTTTGTATCACGCCTTCATCTGAAGAGCAGTGTGATTAGCAGAAGTATGGCTGTCAGTTGGGCCAGAAAGGTAACTCTGGGATGAGAAATCTTTAAATTGCCTTGGTGTCTTTGGACAGGTACCTCCCCACCGTCAAAGGCTCCTCCCACCACTATTTCCAAATAGGCGTCATTACTGAGTGACTCTTAGGGGCCAGGCACTGTGTGTTGTGTGTTACTTTATTTTAGTCTTTATAAGAAGTCTGTGGAGGATATCTTATTATCCCCATTATGGAGATGAAGAAACCAAGATTCCAGAAGGTTAAATACTTTGTTCAGGGACACACAGCTACTAAGTGATGGAGACAATTTAGCTCATAGGCTGCCTTCCTCCAAACATTTTGTTCTGTGTCTGCAACCCCAGGGGCTGTGGTAGCACTTTCCCAAGAGGTTCCAAAGAAGCCTGGCTTGAGCAAGCTGCACATGCCTGAATCAGTCATTCTGGCCTTTCGGGCTTCTGCCTGGCCAGGTCTGGGGAGGTGGGGGTCACCTCCACTGAGCACGCTCTGGGGGAGACAGACCAAAGCCAGGCTTATAGCCACTGCAGTTGACCACGGAGCTACCCCAAAGCCTCGTTCTTCCTGGGTTCCCTTCATTGACCCAGATGTTCAGACCAGGGTGGGCTTTGCGTGACTACAGCATCCCAACTCCGGTACTAAAATGGACCTCAACATTTGAACCAGTAACCTCGCCAAGTCACACTGGGCAGGCAGGACACCTCAGAACTACTCCACTCTAGGCCCCAAATCTGAGCCCAGCTGGTCTGTGAGCACATGTAGGAGTTGGGTAGAGGTGGGCCCTGGTCTTGTGGGCCCTCTGAGACCTTGGCTTTGTGATGATACCCCTCTGGCTCTGTGACCAGCCATCACAAGGGTCTCCCCTTCTAGGTGTGGTGGGTGTTTTAGAGGAGAGAAGGCTGGTGGTCGTATTAGACCTGCAGAGTGCAGAGTGTCACTGGTGGGAGCTGACAAATGGTGACGCCATCAGGAGGTGAAGTTGGGTTTCTCAGGTGTCTGTAATGAACAGAGGAGCACGCCGTTTTCACGAGTCCCTTACGCGTTTGAAGGTCACTAGAGGGATCAGGCGAGGAACTTGTTAAGTGTGAAGTGTTTCCTCTCAGGAAAAGAGTTAGAATTGAAAACTATGAGTCGGAACTTCACCTGTCAACCTCCAGGGGCACGTTTCTCAGAACATACCATCAAAGACCATGGTTAATAATTCATTTTGGAACTTTTCCTGGTTCTTGGGCTTGGCTGCAGCAATGGCCTCAAACGTAGTGATGTTTGTGAGGATGACGCAGGACTGGGCCGTGTTTTGTTCTGTCGGACGCAGGTTCTTTGTGAGTCGGAACCAACTCAATGGTAGCTAACAACAGCAACATCTAGGTTATGGTAGGGTAGACGTAAATTCATTATTATTCGTAATCGTTTATTCTTTTTAAGCCAAATGTATACCAAAAAGTAAAATAGAATTTTATTCTGACTTTTTTTTACAGCTTTGTGGAGATATAATTCACATGCCACACATTTCACCCATTTAAAGTGTACAATTCAGTGGGTTTCAGCATATATTCACAGAGTTGTACAGCCATCACTACGTATAAATTTAGAATGTTTTCATCACTCCAAGAAAGAAGTTCTATAACAATCACTCATTTCCCCGCAAATCACCCTCTCCCACCCCACTGCTGTCAAATCAATCCCGATTCATAGCGACCCTCTAGGACAGAGCAGAACCACCATGTATGGTTTCCAAGGCTGTAATCTGTGGAAGCAGACTGCCACATCTTTCTCCCACAGAGCGGCTGTGGGGTTTGAACCAATGACCTTTTGGTTAAGAGCTGAACACTCAACTACTGTCCATCAGGGCTCCTTACAAATCACCCAGCCCTGGGCAAACAACTACTCTCTGTCTCTATGCATTTCCCTATTCTAGATATTTCGTATAAGTGGATCCACCTAATATGTGTTCTTTAGTGTCTGGCTTCCTTCACTTAGCTTTCGAGGTTTATCCGTGATGTAGCGTGTATCAGTCCTTCATTCCTTTTTCTAGCCAAATAATACTCCATTGCATGGATCAACCGCATATTATTTGTCCATTCCTCTGTTGATAGATATTTGGATTGTTTCCACTTTTGGCTATTACAAATAGTACCACCATGAACATCTACGTATATGTTTTTATGTGGAGATATGTTTTAACTTCTCTTGGGCGGAATGCCGAGTCATATGGTGACTCTATGTTTAACATGTTGAGGAACAGCCAAAGTGTTTTCCAAAGTGGCCGCACCATTTTGTATTCCCACCAGCAAGGTGTGAGGGTTCCGATTTCTTTATGTTCTTGAAAACACTTGTTACTGCCCATCTTTCTGATTAAAGCCATCCTAGGGGGTATGAAGTGGTACGTTGTGGTTTGGATTTGCGTTTCCCTAATGACTAATGATGTTGAGCATCTTTTCATGTGTTTATTGGCCACTCATGTATCTTCTTTGGAGAAATGTCTGTTCAAATCCTTTGCCTATTTGTAAATTGGATTATTTGCCTTTTTACTGTTGGGTTGTAAGGCTTCTTTATACATTCTGAATGCAAGTCTCTTATCAGATATGTGATTTGCAAATGTCTTAGGCTGGATTCTCTAAAGAAGCAAAACCAGTGAAGCATGTGTTTGTCTGTCTGTCTATTGAGAGACTTATATCAAGAAAATGGCTGGCATGGTTGTAGAGACTGGACATCCCAAGTCCATGGGTCAGGCTGGAGGAGCTGCAGGGGCTGGCAAACCCCAGATCGGCAGGTGAGACAGCAGGCCGCTGGCTTACAGGCTACAGAGGCTGACGAATTCCAATATCGGCAGGTAAACTGCCAGCTCAAGTCCTAAGAATTAGAAGTCAGATGCAGGGTCCAGAGCAAGCAAAAGCCAGCCAGCTTTACCAGAAAGTCCACATATATTGGGTGCAGGCCACACCCCCAAGGAAAATCCCTTTCAGCTGATTGGCTGCTCATAACAGATCTCATCATGGAGGTGACTACATTCTGTCAGATCTTATTATGGAAGTGATTACATCATACCTGCCGAACCACTGAGAATCATGGCCCAGCCAAATAATTTCCATTCTGTGGATGGTCTGTTTACTTTCTTTATGGTGGCCTCTGGTACATGAGTTTTTAATTCTGATAAAGTCCAATTTATCTATATTTTGTGTTGTTTTTGCTTGTGGTTTTGGTGTTGTATCAAAGAATCCCCTGGCAAACCTGAGGTAACAGAGATTTACTCCTGTGTTTTCTTCTGAGAGTTTTCTAGTTTTAGCTCTGCCATTTAGGTCTATGGTTCATTTTGAATTAATGTTTGTATGTAGTTTGAGATAGGGGGTCCAACTTCATTCTTTTGCATGTGGGTATCCAGTTGTCCCACTACCATTGGTTGAAAAGGCTATTCTTTCCCCATTGAATGGTCTTGGCACCTTTCATAAATGTGCTGAAAATTAATTGACCAGAGATGTAAGGGTTATTTCTGGACTGGCAGTTCTACTCCATTGATCCTATATGTCTGTTCTTATTCCAGTACCACGTGTGATTACTGTAGCTTGTAGTTAAATTGGGAAGTGTGAGTCCCCTGACTTCGTTCTTCTTTTTCAAGGTCATTTTTGCTATTTGGAGTCCCTTTCATTTCCTTATGAATTTTAGGATCAGCCTGTCAATTTCTGCCAAAAAAAAGAAGCCACCTTGGATTTTGAGAGGAATTGCATTTTGAATCTGTAGATCAATTTGGGAAGTATTGTCATCTTAACAATACTACTAAGTTACGATTTTTTAAATTTTTTTTAAAGTCACAATTCTTAATGATAGATGTTGTAACTCTGTTCACTACTTATAAATTAGACTATTTTTCATCTCTTTGGAGTCAGGGGAGGAGGACTCACCTTTGTTAAAATAGACTTTTCTCAGAATCACATGAGTCATAGTTAGCTTGCCAAGTCTCCCCTAATTTCAAGAAAAATTGATATTCTTTCCGGGATGGTAATTATTAGAGTTGATATTAATCAACTGGTGATTTAAAAAGTTACCGTACAAAAAAATAAGCAATAGCATGACTCTTTTGGGCCATGGCATAGCTTTTTTAAACTGACTTTTTTTTTTTTTTGCTTAGTATAATGTCAGTGATTCCAGTAATGCTACAAAATTTAAAATTATTCCTTCCTCTTCATGATTTTGATTATATTAACTGTTACTTTACTATTTATTTCTCGAATTGGTCCTTTTTTCTATTATTATCCCCAATAAAATTGTACTCTTTAATGTATATTATCTCGTTTTTAATAGTTAAAGATGTGCTTCTGTTCAGTTCCACACGTAATTATTAGTAAGAGCATCCAGTCTGTGCAGAGTCCAAGCATCATGGAAAGCGCTGAGGTGAATAAAGTCAAGGACGTTTCCAGGCAGTGGAGGGCATTGTAAAACCACCAAATGACTTGAACCTGATAACAAGCTAGCAGGTGGCACGAAGAAGTAAGAAGGCAATGCTCTGTGGAGAGATGACATCATCTCACCCAATAACCCATTGCTGTCGATCTGATTCCAACTCCTGGTGACCCTGCACGTGTCAGAGGAGAACTGTACCCCGTAAGGTTTTCAGTGGCTGATTTTTCAGAAGTAGATCTCCAGGCCTTTCTCCTTGGGTACCTCTGGGTAGACTTGAACTGCAGCCTTTTGGTTAGCAGCCAAGCACATTAACCATTTGTACCCTCCGGGGACTCCGTCTCACCTATATAGGAAAATTTAAAAAGGGTTTGTGGAGGATGAGGCATTTGGGATAACCCAAAAGCTATATGGGAAGTGGGGAGAGGGCATTCAGGGTATAGAGGAAGACATGAAGAGAAGTTTAGAGTGAGGAAGCAGGAAGCATATTT